GCTGCCTCTGTATCAGAGGCAGCAAGGAGGGAAATGTGTGTAGTCAGCTGAGGCTTATTGGTTAATTGTGCTGTCATCTACATGATGACATCCCTAGTAGGATGTAGGTAGTGATGATATGCTGGGTAACTTGTTTAGATCTGCCCCCTCTTTACAGCCTTATACATAGGGTCCTACCAAATTCACAGCCATGGATAACACAGCATGGATCATAAAATCTGGTCTTGTGTATTTTTACCCTATGCTATACAGATTTCACAGGGGAGAAGAGCATCTCTCAAATTGGTAGTCATGATGCCTAAGAGAGTTTCAGAGGACTCCAGAGGTTATTTTAGGGGAGTGTTTCACAGTATTTCCACCCTTACATCTATGCTGATCCTCGGGGTTGGCTGCCAGAGAGTGACAGCTGTTGGCCAGGTACCCAGCTTTTAGCAGTGCCCCACCAGCAGCAGAGTAGAAATAAGGGTGGCAATACCATACCATGCCATCCTTACTTTTACACTGCTGCTGGCAATGGTTCTGCCTTCAGAGCTGGGTTCCTGGCCAGCAGCTGCCGCTTTCTAGCGGTCCAGCAGCAGCGCAGAAGTAAAGGTAGCAGTACCGCAACCGCACTACAATAACCTCACACAACTTGTTTTTGGGTCAGGATTCCTACAATTATACCACCATGACATTTCAGATTTAAGAAGCATTTGTGATTTTTAAAACCCTAAGGCTGTGAAATTCACCCAAATGGGCTGAGAATTTAATAGGGCCCTTCTCATGCACAAGCATAGGGACCAGCTCCATGGGCACTTCAGGACTGGAGCACCCACTGGGAAAAAATAGTGGGTGCTGAGCAACCACCGGCAGCCAAGCTCCGCCACTCTGCCTCCCTCTCCCCTTCACCTCTAGCCTGCTGGCATCACCAGTGTCCAACTCCTCCCTCACCCTCCCAGCACTTCTGGAGCACTGGGAATGTTTCAGAGTTCAGGAAGCTCCGGGGGGAGAGAAAGGTGCAGGGATGCAGCAAGCTTGGCGAGGGGAGGTGGGAAGAGGTGGAACAGGGCTGGAACTTACAAAAGGGATGGAATGGGAGCACAGCAGGGGTGCAGAAAGGTGGGGTGCTGATGGGGGCTTGAAGAGATGGAGTAGGGGCAGGGGCAGGGGGCAAGAACCCCCCCCCCCAGCTAGTGAGGAATTCGGTGCCTGTGTGCACACAAGGGAAGTATTTCAAGTGGTCCACAGTTGCTAACAATGGTTCAGCTGCACCCCGGTGAGAGAGGCTGGCAGCCCTAGTAGGCAGGCAGCTACAATAGAAACAGAGCAGAGGTGAGAACTGTGATTCCTTTATGTTTGTAATTGGTAGGACAGGAGAATGGCTGAGTTTTATGCAGCGGGTGAGTGAGTCACGTGACCGAGACACTAATCCTGTCATTGACTGGCTGGGATGCACTTACAGGAGTTAGAAACCTCCTTCCAACCCCATGTCCCAATCTGGGTATTTGCCCAAACCATGAGAGCTGGAAGTTTCCAAATTGCTGTTTGGAAACATTTGTCTTCCTGGACAGGATTGATAATTGGGAAGTGGATTATTTCATTTCCCAGCAGCTAACTCAGGCTGCTTTGTTGTTTTGTCTGTAGCTGCCCCCTGGGCTCATAAGAGAGATAAAGAATCACCTTAAAAATCTCTACCTTAAATACGGAGAAAACTTTTACCAAGCCATGAGTCTGGTGAGTAAAGAACAAGCCTGGGGGGAGTGTGTGTGTGTGGTGGGGAGGGAGGCATTTCCAGACATGTCTGTAAAACTCACGGTATTAAAGACACACAACTGAGTTCTGTGTTGTACCGTCCACTTCTGGCATGAAGCTGAAATCTTCCAGTACTCAAGAATTTTCCTGTCAGCCCCTCCCTTTTACTCCTCTTTCCTTCTCCCTCAAAGGATAAATCTATTCTTGAAATGCTGCAGTGGTGCAGCTGTAGTACCTTAGGGAAGGTGCTATTATGCTGACAAGAGAAATCCACCTCTAGTGGAGGCAGTAGCTGTAAATGGGAGATGCCCTTCTGTCAACCTTGTGCTGCCCACACTGGGGGCTAGGTTGGTATAACTGCGTCACTCGGGGGATGTAGTTTTTCATACACCTCAACGACATAGTTAAAATCCCACGGTAAGTTTACAGTGCAGCTGGACACTGTGGAAACGACTCTGGCTGAGGACATCCGTCCTTTGCATTCTATTGATGCCACCCCCACTCCTTCCATCAGCTAGAGGGAGCTGGTAGAGAATGTGCATCTGGCTTCTATTCTGGGCCAAGAGAGCTGAGCGTACATTATGTTGAGTTAGGTGGAGCTGAGACCACAGGAAGTGGGAGGAACCCTGATTTGAACACCTATTTTCCAGTTCTATAAAACCAGACTCTGTCCTGTTTCTTGTGGTAAATGTCTATCCAGGTTGCCTTGGAGCTTTGTCGTCAACCTGCAGATTGCACATTTCAAAAAGATTTGTTTTCTCTGGTCTCCTGAAAGGCTTTGTTTGGATATGTGGGAGAAAGGGCAGCCCAGGAATTTTGTCAGGTCTCTGGCTAGCTGAGTCCCAGCACCTGGAACTTCTCCTGATAGGTGATCCGACCAAACAGAAGAGCCCTGGATGTGTCTTCAGCTGTTCTGGTTTATAAATTCCAATACTGGTGTGTCCATAGTTAGAAGCTACAAGCCGAGTGAAAGGGTGGTGGTATCTGCTTAACAATTGATGTAACAACATTGCGAAGCGCCTATGATAATCGCTGTCCTCATTTTTATTTTCAGCCTTTGCTTTCTCCTGATCAACAGAAGTTACAGCCTCTAGTACATTTCACAGCGGCATGCTGCAAAATTTATTGTTTGTTGCTTCTTCAGAACCCACCCATTAAAGCTGTGTGGCCCACAGAGGAAAGAATCCCCACATACTGCATACAGCATGTGGACAATAAAGATGTGGAGGACAAGATGCCATTGAACTTTCTATGGCCAGTGCTCGCATGTGGGAGGCAAGTACTTAGGAAGGGTGTAATCTATGGCTGAATGGAATGACTGGTTGAGTCAAATTATACCCCTGTGTTATAAAATAGTAAAAAAAGTAGTGAATAGTAGCTCTGTAGTTTTCAGTCTTTTTCATTCACGAAATGCCTGAGTTCTAGCTCTTGTAGCATTTACTCCTGGAAGGGGATGTGACCCAGAGACCCACTGGTGCCTGACAAAGGGTTCGCTACTTTATAGCACCAACTCCTAACAAGCTTGACAAGCTCACTGTATCATGCACACTGCTTTCATAGTAGTTATCCATAAAGAAAGCCATGAGAGGTCTCAAATGAAATCTAGGGTCATAGAGAGAGCTGTGAAATGTACAGATATAGTCTCATATGCACATACCGAAAATATGTTTAGATTTGGTAGCCAGGAATGAGTCACGAACCAAAGAGCAAGGCAGGTTTTCTTTGAGACAGGAGATAATGTGTAACTCTTGGCCAAAATGTAAATTAACAATTGTAAGATAACACAGTGGTATCCCCGTCTACACTGGAAGTCAACAGAGACAGGCAAAGTCAATTGGGACTGGAAAAACAGTTGATTGGGGAGCAATAGTGCCCCTCCATTAGGATACGTCTAGATAGAAGGCTATTTCGGGATACCGAAGGTATCCTGAAATAGCTACCCTGTATCCAAGGAATGCATCCACTATTTCAAAATAATTTTTGAAATAATGGGTGCGCTATTTCGGCATCCCTGTGAAACTTGTTCCAAGAAGAATAAGAGATGTCTTGAAATAATGCTTTATTTAGAAATTTGGCACTGTGTAGATGCACCAAATTTTGAAATAGTCTATTTTGACAGAAATTTGGCACTGTGTAGATGCATCAAATTTCGAAATAGTCTATTTTGACATAATATCCAAATGAGATACGCAATTTGCATAGCACAAATTGCGTATCTTATTTCAATTTTAGAGTGCAGTCTAGACGTACCCTCTGAGACAATGAATTTTGGGGGATATGGGGCAAAGACAAAAAGACCTCCTTTTATCCAACAACTAGGGAGTAAATGGACAATGGTTTACAGTAGTGAAAGCAGAATCACAACCAGTCTTGACTGAAATGCTGCAGAAAAGGCTTTGGGTGAAATACACTTCTTTAGAAATTAGTTTAGCTTGTGAAGTTAAGTTTAGTCTCTCAAAGCCATGTATGTATTAATTTTTTTTTATATTTAACAGTTCCGTTTCCATTATTCTTACTCGGTCATTTTAATCTTTGAATCACTTTTTTGTTACTATGCTTAGTCTTATTTTTTACTCTAAATGTATCTAAGTGCTATGGTAGGAAGTAAAGCAGATAAGGCATTTCCAGTTGGTGTGTGCGGATAGCAAGCCTGGTAGTTCTGTGAGTGTTCCGTGGTTAAGATGCTTCTGGGCTCTACAGGGCTCAGGGAGTGTCGTACACCTATTGCTATCCTGCAAGGTTTGGGTGGCTCATAGGTTGTTGGTATTAGGAATCTGACCTCCGGCACAAACAAGTCTCCCTCTCACTGGAGGCAAGTAACATGCAACTCTCAGTTTTTGGTGACCCAAGAACCATCAAAAGAGCCACATAAAACAGCTCAGTATTTGCACATAGGGTGCTAAAAATACTGACATCTCCTGGAAAATATTTTCCATAGAAATAATTTGGTTCCTGCCAGTCTCATATTCTAGGTGCTGATCCTCACTTCTTATTTCTAAGCAGCATTTGGGTGAAAATTAGATCTGTGTTTTTCAAGTGTCATCACCTATACTTAGGGTGCATCTACACTGCACCAGAGGTCAAAATAAGATACACAATTTGAGCTACGCAAAGTGTGTATCTTATTTTGTACTTTGGTGCTGTCTACAGAACAAATGCACATCTCCATGAAGCTCTCACATAGGAATTTTTTGATCCTTCTCACAAGGTTTCTGGGGAGGCCTGCCTTATTCTGTCCTTCATGGTAGGACACCTTTCCGAGCCAAGCCTCCAGGAAGTGGTCCAGTGTCCCTGAACCACAAAGCATTGCAGCACAAGGCCCAGGTTTATGGCCACATTCAGCCAGCATCCGCTCCCAATCACTCTGTGTGATCGGGAGAAGAGTGATCTCGCTCATGGCAACCTGGCTGAAGGAGGAGGGGAAGCCATTAGCACTCTCCCTAGGAAGCCATTTCTGTCTGACACAGATTCCCTGCTCCCTCCCGCAGGCTGGGGAAGTAGCACCTAACCAGGAAGCCGTGTGTGCTGGACCCAGCGTGTGCCAGACACAGAGGGAAGGCCCTTTGCTCCATCCCGACCCTCCCCCTACAGGCTTCTGCAGTCTGGGAAAGTTGCTTTGCACTGGAAAGACATGTATGCCAGTTGCAGGCTCCTGTCTGGCAGGGCCCTTACCATGCCTGCCTCTGAACTGCATGAGTCCAGATGCTCCCCTGATCAAAATAACATTCCCTCCTCCCCCAGCTCTGTAGCACCCACCCTCAGGATTTCCAGGGTCCGCCAGGGCCCCAGGACTTGGGGCGGGGGGAGGGAGGGAACTCAAGGACAGCTTTACCCTCCAGGACTTTAGGAGGCAAAAGTTTGTCCTTCACGGGTTTCTGAGCCCTCCTCCCCACTTCTGGTTCTCACTTCTTTTACTCCCCTGCTGTTTTCCTTAAATAAAAACACATGACCTCAGAACATCAGTCTCTTTATTGCTTGTACTGCAGGGGTGAGGTGGGAAATTAAAGGCAAACAAAGGGAACACACAGGCTCCTTGTTGAGAGCAACGGGCATGAGTCTCAAACCTGGTCATTCATAGAATTGTCCTTCAAAACCTCTCTGATTTGCACTGCCCCTTGTGGTGCTCTCATTATCACCCCAATGGCTGACAGCTCAAAGTCTCTGGCTAGATGCTCTGCCTCAACCCTCTGTCAGATAGCTTTCCTGCTTGCTCTCACAAAGATCATGGAGCACACAACAAGCTGACAGCACAAAGGGAATGGTGCATTTTCTGAGGTACAACCTACTCAGGAGACTCATAAACCTACCTTTTAAATGTCCAAAAGCACATTCAACCACCACTCTGCACTTGCTCAGCCTGTAGTTGAACTCCTCCTTGCTGAAGTCCATGTACAGCTTCATCACCAAGGATCACAAATGGCATTTCTACTTCTCCGATTCTGATTTTCCTGTCTGGGAAACAGTTCCAGGATGCATCTTTCTGAAGAGGCAGGAGTTCCTAAAGACATGCGTGCATCATGCACCTTTCCCAACCATCCCACATGGATCACAGGGGCTGTTTCACCAACATCAACTAGCGCCTGCAACATAATGGAAAAGTACCCCTTGGCAAGATGGACAGGGCCAAGATGGGAATGTGTGTTCCATCTATTGCCCCACTGCAGCAAAGCCATCCACTGTGGTATCCACAATTCCCTAAGTCACAACCCTCCATAGCAGAATGGTAGTGCTTGCTTTGGCTACTTGTATGAAAGTAGCCCCCTCTGCAGATTTCCCCTACTCCAAACTGATTCCCAACTGATCAGTAGCTGTCCAGCCTTGCAAGCTTCCAGAGAGCTATTGACATACACTTCTCCATGGCCAAGACAGGTCTCATTCTGGTACTCTCGCACTTCAGGCCAGGGGAAAGCCATTTGCAAAGTTCTAAGGAAGTGGCCTCGCACTTTCAGAAGTTTTGCAGCCACTGCTGATTGTCCCATCTCTGCATCACAGTGCGGTCCCACTAGTCTGTGCTTGTCTCGTGGTAGGGCCTGGTGGTTGCACTTGCATCGGCACCAGGGCTTACGTGAACAGGAACTCCATGTCAACCCAAGATTCACCATCCTCCTCTTCCTGGCGGAGAAACACACGTACGCTCTCAAAGTACTGCACCATTAGGCGCACCCAGGCAGCCATCAACATCACTATGATTTGCTGCAAAATGATATCCATGCTCACGCTTCTATGTCGTCTGCATAGGCAACCAGGGCAAAAAAAAAAAAATGGCGTGAAAAGACAGCTTCCTGTTGATCACAAACAAGTGGGGAGAAGGGCTAGATGAGCGCATTATGGGACATTGACAACCCATAACCACCCACTGCACAATTCTGATCCCAGCAGGCACAGGAAGCATAGCTTAGCATGCAAAGCTACCCACAGTGAATCGCTCTCTGAGTTGGCACCCTAATGGGAATGTGCTACTTCAGACTATATTGGATTCTTCCTCACAATGAGGACATGGATCTTATGCAAAATCAGGTGACCAGAAATGCTCTTGTACAGTAACTTTACACTTTAGTGGAATCTCCGTTAGCTTCTGAGAGCTTTTTTTACAAGGCTAAGAAGGGCCTGTTTGACTTTATGGTGTCTGGAGATCAACATCATTCTTATCACATTGATTTTAGCTTGTCGTAGAACATCCATTTAATATAACAACACGCTTTATCTGCTTCAATCCATCAGTATTAGAGACCAAGGGGAAACATTTCATTAGATTATACAAAAGATTCTGATGAGCCATGGGAGGAGAGGGTGATTGATCTCAGTTAGGCCTCTTCCTTATATATTTATTGATTGTTTACAGGCTTTACTATAGAGCACATCAGTGAGTATCTGAGCACCTCACAGACATTAAAGGATTTGTCCTTGGAACAACCCTGGAAAAGGTACAAAGAAGGGCAACAGAAATTATTAGGGATAAGGAACAGCATCCATATAAGGAGAGATTAAAAAGACTGGGGCTTTTCAGCTGTGAAAAGCAATGATGTGGGGAATATGTTAGAGGTCTATAAAATCATGAATGGTGTGGAAAAATACAAATGTTTATTTGAATATTCATCTTAATACAGTAAAATTACAGTGACTGGAATGCCAGGGAGGCCTAACTGAGACGGCTCAATTAGGGCAATCGGCAAAGAATGGGGCAAACAATCCCCAAATCTGGTGGTTATTCTATAGATTCACCAGTTTAGCAAAAAATAGCTTCTATAATACCTTAGGGTATGTCTACACTACCCCCCTAGTTCAAACTAGGGGGGGTAATGTAGTCATACGGAGTTGCAAATGAAGCCTGGGATTTGAATTTCCCGGGCTTCATTTGCATGAAGCCCGGCAAAGAATGGGGCAAACAATCCCCAAATCTGGTGGTTATTCTATAGATTCACCAGTTTAGCAAAAAATAGCTTCTATAATACCTTAGGGTATGTCTACACTACCCCCCTAGTTCAAACTAGGGGGGGTAATGTAGTCATACGGAGTTGCAAATGAAGCCTGGGATTTGAATTTCCCGGGCTTCATTTGCATGAAGCCGGCCAGCGCCATTTTTAAATGCCGGCTAGTTCAGACCCCGTGCCGCACGGCTACACGCGGCATGGACTAGCTAGTTTGGATTAGGCTTCCCAATGTGAACTAGCTGTACACCTCATTCCACGAGGCGTACAGCTAGTTCGGATTAGGAAGCCTAATCCGAACTAGCTAGTCCATGCTGCGTGTAGCCACACGGACGGGGTCCGACCTAGCCGGCATTTAAAAATGGCGCCGGCCGGCTTTATGCAAATGAAGCCCGGGAAATTCAAATCCCGGGCTTCATTTGCAACTCCGTATGACTACATTACCCCCCCTAGTTCGAACTAGGGGGGTAGTGTAGACATACCCTTATTGGTTATCCAGTAGCCAGAAATACAGTTTCCTTAAGCAAACCAGTATTGGGCTCCCACCCAGAGAGCCAAATAAAAAATGATGAGGATTACTGAATCTTGTTCATTATATAAGAAGTTCTACCAATCCCATAAGATCAGACACAGTACCCACCAAATTAATGAGTATTTCAGATCTTACCCAAACACACACTTACAGATGGTTCTTATTAAGTAAACTAAGATTTATTTTAAACAAGAGAATATTGGTTAAAAGCTCACAGTACATACAGAGATGAATAAAGTCCTTAGGTCAGCTTCACAGTAGAGATGATGAGCTTTGGAGTTGCCATAAATCCTGTGAGAATTAGTCCATAAACTCAGTCCAGTTGTTAAAACCAGGGTCATCCAGGACAGACCAGAAATGGAGACCTCGGTCTATTGCTTACAGTTCAACTGATGATCTTACGCAGATCTGAGATGAAGGGATCACATCCTAAGAGTTTTTTATAGAGATCACTAGAAAGCTATTGTCAGCCTCTTCACAGCAGGTATTTCTTGGGTGAAGAATAGTGCCTTTGAAGTAGAATTACCTGGTTCTTATGTATTCAGGGATCTATTTACATTTATCAGCGTAAAATAATTATTCATTATGCAGTTAATAAACAGTTTAATAGACACTTCAAAGAGAAGTATTGAGAATGAAAGTTTAAATGTTAATATTTCCTTTTGATCTTTGAATTCACGTATAATAGACAGGAACCATATGTTTACATGGTTAACAAGATATACATAAACACAGACAATTAGCATTACCTATAGTTCTCTAACAATACAAGGTTTGTATTTCAAAGCTCCAGTCTATTTAAGATGAAATGGCCCCAATTGCCATTTATATATCTTGTAATATGTCTCTAAAGGTTGAATCCAGATCAATTAGCCTGTTAGTTATATATCCCTTTCTGGCCCTAGGTCACTGTAAGCCGGGTGGTTTAGTTCTGGGTCCCAGACCTGTGCTCAGGCCTGTAAATAAATGTCCAGTGGCTACCTTCAAACCCTGGGCCCTAAGTACAGGATGGGTCAGGCAAACAAGACCAACATATAGCAGTTCCCCAGTTTGTTCGTCCCTGGCCCTGTCTCAGGGCGGGGCAGCAAAGCAAAAACAGTCTCAGAGTTAGTAAGGCCCAGGGCCTTGTTCAGGATGTAAGCAGGGGCTGAACTACTGCTTGCTATCAGCCAGCTAAAATGAGAGAGCTACCTAGGGGGTGGATATGCTCACTCAAAGGCTACATCTACCCTGCAGGCTTCTTGCACAAGAACTGTTTTGTGCAAGAGTTCTTGCGCAAAAGGTCTTGCACAAGAGCACATCCACATTGCCATGTGCGTTTGAGCAAGAGATGTGCTTTTGTGGAAGAGTGTCCATGGCAGCGTGGACACTCTCTTGTGCAAGAAAACTCTGATGGCCATTTTAGCCATAGGGGTTTCTTGTGCAAGAAACCCCTGTTGCCTGTCTACGCTGTCTTCTTGTGCAAGAGCTTTTCCTCAAGAGGGCTTCTTCTTTGTGGGGAGAGGAATAACTCTTGCGGAAGAAGCCCTCTCTAAATTTACTTGCAGAAGAACGTAGGTGCAGTGTAGATGCTCCGCAAGTTTTTGCGCAAGAACGGTCATTCTTGCACAAGAAGCCTGCAGTGTAGACATAGCCTACAGCTATGTCTGAAGAACTATTTTGCGGAAGAGTTCTTGTGCAAAAAGTCTTCCACAAGAGCGCAAGAGATGTGCTTTTGCCCAAGAGCATCTATGGCAGTGTGGACGCTCTTTTGCGCAAAAAAGCTCTGATGGCCATTTTAGCCATAGGGGTTTCTTGCGCAAGAAATTCATGTTGCCGGTCTACATTGCCCTCTTGCGCAAGGGAAGAGCTCTTGTGCAAGGAAGCTTATTCCTTGTGGGGAGAGGAATAACTCTTCCCGAAGAAGCCCTATTTTCTGATGCTAGACTGTAGATGTTGTGCAAAAACACGCACGCAGTGTAGACACTCTGCAAGTTTTTGCGCAAGAACAGCTGTTCTTGTGCAAAAAGCCTGCAGTGTAGACATAGCCTTAGAGGGGCAACCCCAACCATTAGCCTCCCTTCTACTCCCATTCTAAAACTTCCCCAGGACTGCAAGCTTTACTGCTCAAAGACTGATGCAGTAGCATTCTTAGAGTAAATCTATGCTACAGGATTACGTTCAGGGCCATCCTTAGGCATAGGCAGAATAGGCAGTTGCCTAGTGCACCAGTATTTCTGGGGCGCCACTCTGCTGGGACGGACGGGAAGCAGTGGGGCATGTGTAAGCAGAGGCTAAACTACCGCTTGCTATCAGCCAGCTAAAAGGAGAGCTGCCCTGGGGGATGGGTATGCTCACTCCAGGGCTGTGTCTACATTGGCGTGATCTTGCGCAAAAGCAATTGCTTTTGTGCAAAAACTTGCTGCCTGTCTACACTGGCCGCGAGTTCTTGAGCAAGTACACTGACGTTCTAATGTATGAAATCAGTGCTTCTTGCGCAAGAACTCTGATGCTCCTGCTCAGGAATAAGTCCTCTTGCACAACTGTTCTTGCACAAGAGGCCAGTGTAGTAGATAGGCAACAGGAATTTCTTGCGCAAGAAAGCCCTATGGTTAAAATGGCCATCGGAGCTTTCTTGCGCAAGAGAGCGTCTACACTGGCATGTATGCTCTTGCGCAAAAGCACATGCCAGTGTAGATGCTCTCTTGTGGAAGAGTTTTTGCACAAGAACTCTTCCGCAAAAGAGGTCTTGCGCAAGAAGCTGCCAGTGTAGGTGTAGCCCAGGAGTAGCACAAAGGTGGCCTAACCTCAGGTTCAAGGAGGGGAGTCATCTGGATGACGTGTCAGGGTCTGCACTGACTGGACAGAGCTGTAAGTGGGGCATCTGAAGTGGGGTATGGAGAAAGTTGGGTAAGTGAACTCTGTTGTGGTATTTTCCCAAGATAATGCCATGTGACCTCTCTCTCTTTCATTAAAAGTTTATTTTCTACACTCAGACTCTGTGCTTGCGAGTGGGGAAGCATTGCCTCTCAGAGGTGCCCAGGGGTGTGTGAATTTCCCAGGCTACTGGGTGGGGGCTTGAGCCAGTTCTGTGTGAGATGGACCCTAGATATTGAACCCGGCCCTGGCTGCTGCTGGCCCTACCCGGCAGAAGGGTTACAGGTAGGGCCAGATTAAGGGCGGGGCCAGCCGGGCAGCTGTCCAGAGTGCCAACCTATGGGGGGCACCTGATGGCAGCTGTAAGGTGTGCAGTGTGCCGGAGCTGGAGCCGCACATGCGTCGCGTGCCCGCTGCCCAGGGCGCAGGAATGGCTCGAGCCGGCCCTGGTTA